CTCCTTGCGATCTTGCTACGGTACGAAAAGTGCAAAAACGCATAATCGCACCGGCCTCCCTGGTGCTTTCCAGCCTGGGTGTTATATAACCAAGCCTTAATTCAGAATAAACACACTTCGACACTGGCTCCAGCCTGCGAAGATGCCGAACCAGCTGCGCATCACGACCCCCTCGGTCCCACACACACACATGCACCACACACACACGCACACACGGACCCTTACAAACTTCACACCGCACACAGCACGGACTCCCTAGGTCCGTATTCAAGCACGTCTTGCCACATAACGCCACATCACTGAATGTACTTTCAGGTGGGATATCCTGGATGGGGAAAGAGCAGGAAGGCTCTCAGACGCAGCTGCTACATACTGTCCCTCCAGGATCTGTTCGGGCGCTGATTAACACCGACGTGAATCGTGGGCTTTGGTCAATTTTGGTAGTTGCATCACTTGGTATTAACGCAGCATTTTCGCTCATGGGTCTCATTTATGCTCATCAGTTCCGGTAATCGTAAGTTCAGTCCACTGTCTGCCGTTTTTTCCATACTTGTTGTTATCACTGAAGTAATATGAACTTGCCTTTAAATTGATTTTGTTATTCAACAGTCTTATCATTTTTTGCCATTGGCATCACCGAATCTTTGCATCTTTTCATGGCTGCCTTATCAAATGCTTGAGCAGAAGAGCTGGAAAAATTCCGTATTTTCGTAAGACATATTTCCCGAATAACCCAATCTTAGAAATCTTAAATAAAATCTTTGAAATTGTGAAAAACTTCATTTTTTGTTTTTTAGAAAGAAAGCCATCAATCCTTGCAAACATTTTTACTTGAAAAATTTGTGAAAATCCTGAATCTTTTCCGTTACGTTCTAGTCAAATTTATGTGATATTTGGTTGGAGCTTTAAACATCGAGAACTTTTGGACAGACATGTTGCAGTCTAGCTTCAGTTTTGGCTAGAAAATTGGTATTTATCTTCAGTTTCCGACGACAACTTGCTGTTTGGCCTTGGCTTTGACAGAGGGGTTGTAGTTGTGCCACAGCTTTGGCAGATGGGTGTTAT